GTCCCCAAGTCTCTCTCCTCTCTCTCTCTCTCTCTCTCTCAATCTCTCTCAATCTCTCTCTCTCTCTCTCTCTCTCTCTCTCTCTCTCTCTCTCTCTCTCTCTCTCTCTCTCTCTCTCTCTCTCTCTCCCTCACACACAATGACCCTCACAACGACCCTCACACTCTTCCCCTCACAGGCAGCCTCAGCGCTGGCCGGGTTCCTAGAGGAAGACGTGTCCTCAATGTCTCTCTCTCTCTTTCTCTCTCACACACACACGCACACACTGACCCTCACACTCCTCCCCACACAATGACCCTCACACTGACCCTCACATTCCTCCCCACAGGCGGCCTCAGCACTGGCAGGGTTCCTAGAGGAAGACGTGTCCTCAATGTCTCTCTCTCTCTCACACACACACACACACACACACACACTCACACTCTGACCCTCACACTGACCCCCACTCTCCCCCCCCACAGGCGGCCTCAGCACTGGCAGGGTTCCTAGAGGAAGACGTGTCCTCGATGTCGGACACAAAGATCATCGACGCTGCCTGGCGTGGGGCTGAGGCGTACCACTTCTACATCCTGGCGCAGCGGCAGATGCATGATGGTACGTCTGTGTGTGTGTGTGTGTTTGTGTGTGTGTGTGTGTGTGTGTATGTGTGTGTGCTAGAGAGAGAGATACAGGGAGAGAGAGACCTACCACTTCTACATCCTGGTACAGTGGGAGATGTATGATGGTACGTCTCTGTGTGTGTGTGGGCATGTGTGTGTGTATGGTGTATGGGTATGTGTGTGTGTGTGAGAGAGAGAGAGAGTGAGAGAGAGGGGCATACCACTTCTACATTCTTGCACAATGATGTTATTTTTCTCAGCTTTCTAGGTACTGAAAAAGTAGTCCTTTACCTATTTTTTTTATATATCAATAGCAGTAACAGGGTTTTGTTTTATGTACTAAAACCTAATTAGAGAGGGATATTTATACTTATGTTTAAATCATAAGATTGTCTAGGCAAACAGTTTTGTTAATGTTTTCTCAAAACAATTATTTAAAGAAATGACTTAAGCAATTGCATTTTGACTGTCTTGACAATGTGCTCCTCTTTAAAAAGATCTATCCTGTTCACCCCCCTCCATCCCCCTCCCTTTCCTTCTCCCCACCCTCCCCCCTCCCCCTCCCTCTCCCATCCCCCCCCCCTTTCTCCCTCCTCCTCTCCCTCCCTCCACCTCTCCCACTCACCCCCTCCTCCCCCCAAACCAGGCTATGTCGATGCAGCCATGCGTACAGCCATGTACCTGAGGGACTTTGAGGACATCATAGACCCAGTGTGCATCTACTCTCTCCTGGGTGAGTCTTTTTTTTAATTCTTTTTTTTTTTTTTTTTTTGGTTAGTGTTTTACGGTGCTTGCAACTGCAAAAGGTCATATGAGCACTCGGGACACCTTAAACACTTTCGGTTGGTAGGGAATTTTGAATTTTGCCCAGATGGCGGCCGTAGCCTACTCTTATCAATTTTGGACCACCAAGGGATCTTTAAGGTGCGCAACATGCACATGGGACCTCAAGATTTTTTGCCCTCATCTGAGATGGCTAGGTGTAGATCTTTCCTTCCAGAAGATCAGGGGTGTGGCTGAAAGACAGCAGTAAGGGGCCAAAACTTTGCATGGCACTTCTGCAGGCCAGTGACCAAGCAAAAATATTTTTCCAACAAGTCTTGATCCAGTAATTAAAGTTTTTCTCTTTGGGCCCTTTATTAAAATCCACTCTTTGGATGCATACACAGGGTCACTAAAATAAATGACTTACAGTAACCTAGCCTTCAAATTGACCTTTTTGAGACAGCGACACCGCCCTGCCCCCACTTTTCAGTGTGAACTTTAGAACCGAGCGTTCAACCTGTGCTCCAAGGCCTTCATCTATCTATCTATTTTCTATCTATCTGCCTATCTATCTATCTATCTATCTATCTATCTATCTATCTATCTATCTATCTATCTATCTATCTATCTGACTATCTATCTATCTGTCTATCTACAGCCCTGGCAGCGTGTGCGAACCGAGCGTTCAACGTGTGCTCCAAGGCCTTCATCAAACTGGAGAGTGTGGAGAGCCTGACCGCGGAGCAGAAACAACACTTTGAGGAGCTGGCCATGGAGATCTTTACCAAGTGAGGCGACTGTCTATCTGTCTGTCTGTCTGTCTGTCTGTCTGTCTGTCTGTCTGTCTGTCTGTCTGTCTGTCTCTTTCTCTCTCTGTGTATCTTTCAGAAGCAACACTAAGAGGAGCTTGCCATGGAGATCTTTACCAAGTGAGGCGACTGTCTGTCTGTCTGTCTGTCTGTCTGTCTGTCTGTCTGTCTGTCTGTCTGTCTGTCTGTCTGTCTGTCTGTCTGTCTGTCTCTTTCTCTCTCTGTGTATCTTTCAGAAGCAACACTAAGAGGAGCTTGCCATGGAGATCTTTACCAAGTGAAACGACTGTCTGTCTGTCTGTCTGTCTGTCTGTCTGTCTGTCTCTTTCTCTCTCTGTGTATCTTTCAGAAGCAACACTAAGAGGAGCTTGCCATGGAGATCTTTACCAAGTGAGGCGACTGTCTGTCTGTCTGTCTGTCTGTATGTCTGTCTGTCTGTCTGTCTGTCTGTCTGTCTCTTTCTCTCTCTGTGTATCTTTCAGAAGCAACACTAAGAG